CTCTCTCTCTAAACAACTATCTCTCTCTCTCTCTCTAAACATATTCCTCTCTCTCTCTCTCTAAAACATATTCCTCTCTCTCTCTCTCTTGCTTTGTATCATTCTCTCTCGCGCTCTTGAATTGAAGGCGCGTTTCTCTCTCTCTTTTCTGCAACTTAAACCTGTGGAAGATAACTGTTTCTTCATGTGATTTCTGCATTTTCAGTAAAAAATAGATAAAATTTCAAATAAGATGTTAAAGAAGGAACCCATCGAAAATTCCACATGAAGCATCAATAACTCAATAGTCAATACTCGATGTGTCCCAAACAGATTGTAATTCATTCTCTCTCTCTCTTTTTTCTTTTTTCTCAATTCTTTGATTTTTATTTTGTACAAATTGTAAACGCCATTAAGAAATCGAAGATGCCAATAGAATGAAACCATATAATTTTATTTATTATTCTTCTTTTTTCATTTTTAAACATCTACTTTTTAAGGGTTTTGATAATGCAAGAATTTAAAAGCTCTTAATACAATTTTAAAACCGAATTAAAAGAGGAAATATTGATTTTTATTCCGTATTTTTGGTCTTTTTTTTTCAGGGCTTTTACTATTTTGAAGTCCAAGTCAAAAGTTAGAATTAAGAAAAGAATTTAGAATCTTAGAATTTAAAAGCCCTTAAACCAATTTCAATACCAAACTAAAAAGAAAGAAAGAGAGATTTTTGTTTTTTATTTTTTATATTTTTAGGTAGGGCTCTTTCTTGCATTCTCTTTTTTTTTTTTCTATTTTACATATAGTAAACGCCCTTAAAAAAAATTGAGAATAGCAAAAATATATATTTTATTTATTTATTTATTTATTTTGCATTTTAAGCTCCTACCTTTTAAATTTTATAATGCTAAAATTTAAAAGCCCTTAAAACAATTTCAAAACCGAATAAAAAAGAATTTCTGTTTTTTCCCTTGCATTTTCAGTAATGGCTTTTAAATTCTAAAAATCCTCCTTTCTATTTACTGTAGTGATATGAAAGAAAGCAAGGAAGAAAAGAAGGTTGATGGGGTTTTGAAGAAAGACATAGAAGATCACGAGGTAGATAACTTGGGATCACGTGTTTATTTCCTTTTTTTTTTTTCAAATTAAAACTACATGATATGTGTGAACAATTTCTCATGCAGTAACTGATAGCATTTTTTGACTAAATAACTTTGTTACAGATGGAGCAGAAGCAGCACATTAATACTACTCAGCAACTAGAAAAGGAATTATTTGAAGCACGAACCTCGGCAGCTGGAGTAGTTGGTTCTACCAGAAGAACACAAGAGCTTCTGATGATGAACATAGAAGCCAACCGAAAGATTAAGGCACTTAATAGGGAACTCACAGAGAAAGATCGAAAGATGAAACTCCTAGCACAGTTAGCCAGTGCTCTTTCAAGTAAAGAATGTGACTCACAGAGAAAGCTACAAGCATTTCGTGATGAAAGCGCACAAAAACTACTTGCTCTTCAAGAAGAAATAAACAAGATGAAATGTGGTGTGATGATGGCAAAAGATATTGCAGAAAATTTTTACCAGGGAGTGAAAGAACCAGTCGAGGAGTTAAAGGAGAAAGAAAGTGAAATTCAAAGCTTGGAAGAGCTAAACAGTGTTCTTTTAGGAAAGGAAAGAGAAGCAAATGATGAGCTGCAAGCAGCTCGTAAAGCTGCAGTTGAGGTATAGTTCTACAACTCTTTTGGAAAAATATAACCCTCAAAATTAAGATTTATATGTTTTAAAAGACAACAATATACTGTTTAATTACACAGGCATACTTTGGAGGATCCACTTTTCTTCATGATTTCTTTCAATGTATAACCATCTTTTTTCAAATTTTATTTTCTGATGGTTGTAACTTCTGAAGCTGACATATATCCATTCTTGCAGTATTTTGAGAAGAAACCACATAATCGTTCATTTATAGGTGTGAAGAGAATGGGGGTCCTTGATGAGCAGCCATTTACTCGTGCTGTAAAAGCAAAGCTTTCAAATGAAGAATGGGATTTGAGGGCATCAGAGTTATGCTCCTTATGGGAAGAACGCACAAGAAACCCATCTTGGCATCCTTTCAAGACAGTTACTATTGAAAGCATGGACAGAGTATGTAACGCTGAATTTTGTGAATTTTTTCAAATTGGCATTCCTGGACAAATGCATATACCTGAAAATAACATATATGATAATGGCATAACTAGATGATGATATGCTTCACATAGCTGCATATGTGTGATTGTAGATATTACAAAATGTGCACATCTCCATATATGCTTTCAACTTCACTAGATGCATTGGATTTTCTTGGACATTTATGATTTCCTGCCTCATTAAGTAACTTGTTTGATGGTTTCCATGTATTCATACATTTATGGAGGCATAAATGGATGGGCGTTTTGGCATTTTATTCACCCCCATCCCCTCTCTCTGTATGCTGGTCAGCAAATGCGATCGAACCCCGAAAATTTAGAAGGACCTCATTTCTATTCGGTGGCAGGATCAACAAGCAAATGCATATGCATCTTCCAAGGACTTCATTTCTATTAGGTTGCAGGATCAACAAGCAAATCCATATGCATCTTCTCAGACCTTCCTGTTAATTTGTTTAGCATTCACTACATGATCTAGTTAACATTTTTGCATTTCAATTTTTTGCTTTTAAACAGAACTAAGTTGAAGTAAGGATCTGGGCCTTTGGGCTCAAAACATGGGGCTGTAAAGATGCATTTTTCCAGCCCAAAATATGACAGATACTGAAAGAAATGCATATTAGATACGATAATGATCAAGATGTAATGTTTTTACTGTAGACATCATGGTAACTTTCTCTATAGCTCTCATTTGGATTCTATATTTTTTAAAGCCAACGCATTTTTTTTGGCTCAAGATGGTCGCTTTGGGAGATAGACCATCAGAATCAATTTGCGTCGAATATAGCATAAACTCGCAGGTGGATCATGAAAGTGTTAAATTTTATAAATTCCTTTTCGCCTGCAAACATATTGACCTATTAGATGTGGGTTAACTTCCCCTATGTGTATCTTCTTAAATTCTTGATCTTATTGAGACATTAATGATTTCTTTTTAGTTTGTTTTTTATCATGCTTCTGATTTCATGGAAAATTTTGGTGATGGTGCAGGAGGTCATCGATGAAAATGATGACAAGTTGAGAGAACTCAGAGACGAATATGGGGATGAAGTTTTCAAAGCTGTGGAAACGGCAATGCTTCAACTCAATGAATACAATCCAAGTGGAAAATACCCTGTTCCTATTCTCTGGAGTTTCAAAGAAGGAAGGCAGGCCAAATTGGAAGAAGTAATTCATCATTTGGTGAATCAAATCAAGAACAAAAAGAGTAAGACATGGCATAGGTAGTAGTGTTTGTGCAGGGTACGGACAGTTAGATATGTCAGGTTTTATTTATTGGCCTAGATTTTGGCCCTACACCTTGGAGATGCTCATTATTTTTGTTGAAGTATACATTTATTGATGTGGTAATGAAAATAATGTTTGGTTATCATTTATTTCACTTTTACAGCTGATGTTGCACGGTTTCATATGTTTCTATCATTCTCTGCTAACATGTAAGTGAAATGAACACAGTAAATGGAACTCTGGTTATTGGGGAATGGTAATTTATTGCCAAAGCCAACATTATAGTTAGTAATGAGGAGAATAATAGGGTAAAAATGAAATGTCACTAAACCAAAAAACTGGCATTAGGTGTGTTTAGATCCACATAATTGGAGGCATTAATTTGGAGAGAAAGTATGGATCACCAAAAATTACGTTAAAAATTATGAACTTTTGTGATTTGGCTCAAAGAAGACCCAGAAAAATTAGATTTGAATAGATGACATGTCAAAAATTAAGCAATTTAAAAATTGCAAACTTTTGGGATTTGTCTTAAAAACAATTGAAACAAATAGATTTGTGATGACGTGCCAAAATTGAGGCATGTTAAAAATTATTAATTATCGAGACTTGATTAAAAAAACAAAATAGGAAGTGTGAGTTAGTTCAAGTGAAAGATTCAAAATAGACAAGGAGTAAGGCCAAAAGAATATGGTAGTAGTGAGAAAAGATATGAGGACTTATGGTCTCATTGAAGATCTGATTCTTAATAGAGTAGAATAGCGGACTAGGATTCGTATGGGCGACCCTAATTAATTAAAAAAAGCAATGATGATTAAAAATTAAAGTGAAAAAAAAATGAAATTTCATAGATGACGTGAAATAAAATTACAATCTGCATAAGAGCATGCAATGAGTCTATGTAAAAATACAATAAAATCATTGAACAATAACCTTATGCCAAGACTTGATATCAATTAGAGCAACCTGACAATTTTTTGGCCTAAATTGTCATTAAAAGCAACAATTGATCTGCTCCTACTGTCATGACACGAAAATGGAGGCATACAATGGGACGACAACAATGATTCTAAACACAACTACATCAAATATCAAGAACAATAATTTTGAGGTGGAGGATTGTCCTGCATCTCAAAAAATTAATAATAATAATAATAAATTATAGGCTTGAAAATAACAAAAAAAACCCAAAAAAATGAAACAATAGTTTATCTAAATTATTTTGTTGCGCTATAAATGAAGAAACGAAAAAACCCTGAAAAAAGTTTGAAATCTAATAAAACTTGTGGACATAGAAAGAACAACATTAGGCTCACTTGTGCCAAGCAATCTATGTAAGCAAACACAGGTATTTGAACCTCAACCCCATTCCTAACCACATTCCTATTTTTTTTGAGGAGTACTCTTTTTTAAGAGAATATGTTTTCTTTTTTTTTTGGAATACATAAGTGAACATGTTCTTTAGGAACGCGGTTCTTGTGGGGAGCATATTTTTTTTTTTTGGAATTATTATTGGTTAAATTAAGATTCTTGATTTAGTCTCTTGTTATCTCAAAACCAAAATTCAAATTTTTTAGATCAATGGGAAATTTTAAAAAGGAAAAAGTTTATATAAGGGCAAGGCCCTGAATAATTAAATTAAGATGCACCTCAAAAATTTCACTAGAAGTGGTTGCTTCGATGCTCAAAAATCTTCAAATTGATCATCTGGACCACAAGATGCATGGACATGAGAAAAAATGGATTTCAATTCTTGGAAATATTGCATCTTATAAAGCACATTCGGACCGTTAATTTTCAAGATTTTTAAGTATTCATAGATCTGCTCAATCTACACTATTGTATTTACTTATTTTTCGGTAAGTCAGTTGGGGAGAAGGCCCCTACCCGTTTTATATTAATAATAAAAAAAAAAAATGGGTAGGGGGCCTTCACCCCCACAGACTTACCCAAAAATAAATAAAATTAGACTTACCCAAAAATACATAAAATTGAAGCTTTAAGTTTTATAATTAGAGATGAAAATAAATTTTCAGGCCATCACAAATATTTCTGATATTCAAACATCTTTCGACACTATTTGAAGGTGTGCTTTCCTTTGATTGTTTAGGGCCTCGGCCTTATACAAACCACACCCTTTTAAAGTAGTTTAAGTTTCAAAAAATAACGTGTTTAATATTATTTAAGAAAACTATTTTATTTTCTCACGCTTTTGAGATAATTTTTGTGTTATTAATGAAATTCCTAATGTTTTGATGAATTTGGAACTCCGCAAGTCCATTCTCCGATTGACATATTTGAAGCACGAGAAATGGTTTGAATGCAATAAAGTGGCTCATGTTAAAAAGTGTAAAATAAAAACTTCCTTTTTAACCTATTTGGACTGGCAATCTGGGGTTCTTAACAATAACACGGCAAAGGTTTGAAAATTCGGTGTTCCGGATCAGAATCAGCCGATTCATATTAAGAATTAGTCGGGCTTATTTAGATCCCAAAAAAATATAGGGAACCGGCCAGTTCCCCTTATGAATGTGCCAGTTCCGTTCAGTTCGTACCGGTTCTCTTGCCGAAGTGAGTGCCCTATCAAAGAATTGGTACCAACCAGCTTCACATTTTATTTTTTAATCACTAAATTGGCCAGAACCGGCCTCGACTAATTTTTAATTTGTTTTGGATTGTTGATCCTTCAAACCACAAAAATCCTGAAGACCTATTTGGGTCATCTATTTTTTTACATCAAGTTGAACCATGGGTTTTCGAAAAAAACAAATTGCATACGGTGCCCGTCTAATTTCTTTTTTAAAAATATTTCTTTTTCAATTTATTTTTATTGGTAAATACTTTGGTTAGTTGTGGACTTTGCACGTATAGTAAGTAGATCATGTATAGCAAATATATTTGGTAGGCGTGATTGCTATATTTTTCTGTATCTCCTTCACACAGATTTGAGAACAGTCTCTTTATTTGTTTGTTTGTTTATTCATTCGTAAACAAAGGCCTGTTTGAACTGGTACAATTTGGCGGACAAAGCCATCTTCTTTCCTCCGCCCATTCGGGACAAGGGGCAATGGGTCGAGTTTGCTGTACCCAGACCCGTATAGTATTCAGGTCCAAGTTTGGATCGGACACAATATGTCGGGTTCAAAAGTTGGACTCATACCCATACCCATCCGGTCCCGAGTCTTTCCCTTTAGGTCTCAGGTTTGGTCTGGTCTATTGCCACCCTCACTGTGAACTTTTGTTTTTTTTTTGCCCTTTTTTCTATCATATACTCATATTTTCGCAAGCCGTTTGATTTGTCGTTTAGTGGCTAAAGATAACTATGAGTTCTTATTGTATACGATCCTTAATACATCAAACAAATAGGGCTTAAAGTATTTTATCTCCAACAGTTTACAAGTACATGTTGGGTTCAACTAGACTGGGACCTGTACCCAAATAGTGTTCGGATCCAAATATTAGACCCATACTCAAACTCGTGTTAGGTATACTAGATGGGTCCCAAGTCAAAGCTTGGGTTTTGGGGGTCTAGGTGGTCCTGAAGTACCAAGCTTCAAAGTCTATGAGTAGAGTTCGGTGAGACCTTTAGGGTTTTGAGGGTGTAGGGCATAGTTAGCAAGCCGGGACTTTCAATAAATCTGCTCATCTTAAAATCGAAAAAAATTCGTTTTTATTTTAAAAAGTCAGATGAAAAAATCGGATAAAAAATATATATCAGGAAAAATACTTCATGTAAAGATATCACCAATATATCGGACTAGGCTCAAAAAATTGGATAAATACATATAAAAAAAATACACCGTACCAAACCTATTTAAATACATATCAAAAAAATACACCACATAAATTTGGTCATTAAATACTTTAGCAAATATCACACCCACTTAAGTATATACCAAAAAATAGAAACGATTTTTTTTATCATCAAATTCTTTAACAATGATATAACAACTTTATAACTATAGTTAATGATTAGGGTTTATACCTTATATATGTGCTTGCATTTGAGTTTGGGTCCTCTGTTTCTACTTTCTAGAGAGAGATGGCGTAGAGGAGCGAATGAATGAATGGGGGAACTAGTATAAAATTCTTCGACATTACCATATTTTTGGCAGAAACCAGGCGTTGAACTTCACGGAATATGATGATTGAGATTTGAGAGGGAAGAAAGTGATCTCTAAAACTTTTTTCTAGCAAAAATGGCAGCCCGTGGAGAGAAAGACAGTGATTTTTATGCAATTTTATGGTTGAAGAATGAGTGCTCTGCTTCAGATCTCAAAAAAAATGCATACAAAAGGCTCGCACTTGTTAGAATAACACCATTTATCTATTTGCATTTTCTATTCACTTAATCCTTTTCCTATCACTATTGCTGTTTCTTGATTCGAAATGTTACAGGGTAAAAATTTTCTACGTTTTAGCTTTCCGAAACTTTGGCATTATGTTTTTCGATTGTTTTCGAAATTCCGCATTGTGTAGCTTTCATCTCTTTTATATAAAACTTTTGCTACTCTTATTTTTGAGGATTTTCAGTAATTCGTATCAAAAGTTTTTTAATTCTGTTAAGATAAGACCATTTTTTCATAGAGATTATAGAGAGAGAAACATGGCCCTTTTTATTTTTTAACAGATGTTTTTTTTGTCCCGTTTTATTTGTTTTTCAAAAAATCGCATTTTAAACAGTATTATGAAAAATACATGTTTTTTTTGACGAACTTTTCAAAAAAAAAAAGGCTTTTAAAACATTTTTTTAAAATTTACCGATTAGTCGCCAAATTGCTAACTATGGTCTAGGGTGGTAGAAAGGTTAAGAACACTCTCAAGGCTTAAAAAGAAAATTGCAAAAACCCCCTGAAAATAGATTAGTTTACGCATGTTACCCCACCCAACTTTTTTTAACAACTTCCCACCATGTTTCCTAGCAAATATCTCTTATACAAAAAAAGGTATTTTTTTATGAATAAAATACATTTCCCTCATGTAACAAATCATTTTCAGATCCCAATAAAAGGAAACACCGAACCACACTTGTACAACATAGGACTGCTCACTTCAAAAAGCTGGACCGCTACTCCATAACGCCGGACTGTGGCCCTTCAAAATGTCGGACCACCAT